GTCAGGAGACATCCTGGGAGGACTGAAAGTGGAGCTAACAAAGACTTCCACATCTGAACTAGAAGAGTAACACCAAATGCAAAAGTTAAAAAGCATGTGGTGTTTTCATTTTTACAGCCTCATTTTTGAGGCAAATACAAGACTCCAAATTCATCAGTATCGAGGCCCTTTTTGATAGGCAAACACATTAAATCTGTGTTTCTTGTTGAGAACTGCTCACTGAGTCGTAAAGAAGAGAAACATTTGATATTTGGAAATAGATCACCTGAGAAATAGTAATAATAGATTGTAGTGTGTCTGTGTGCTTCATTGTTTCATCAGGCTGCTGACCCTGATTTGTTCTTAGATTGGATATCACTATAGTCAGAAACTAGAAAAAGGTCTGTCATTAATTAATTATTTTTGTGACACATTATGAGTAATGTCAAACCAAGAGAGTCAAGCATAATTAACAGAGCACAACTTATTTCCTGCGTTTATTACAACAGGAAATTGTGGTTGAGCACATCAAAGGGTTTATTACTTTTTTAAAGAGCCAATAGTCTTTAACTGATAAAATTGTGTGAATCATAATCTGCTATTGTTGTTGCTAGTCAGAGGCAGGTGGTATTAAGGACGTGGCATTTTCATTTTATAGACAATCTGATTGAACAAAACATTTCTAGTGCAAGATTTTTTGTCCATTTTCCTGGAAAAAGAAAGACTAAAGTTTAAAATTGAATTCTGTCCGCATTTAGGAGTACACGACCTCAAAACAAATAGACAAGGACTAAATTGCACAAGTTACATTTTGATAAACAGTGTTAAACATGAAGAAATTTGACCTATCTATACACACCATCGTCTCATTAAAATGTCTGAAATGTTCCACACACATACACAGAATGGGGAGAGAATGAACCTGCGGTTTGCCTGAGATGAAACAAATTACAAGCTCAACAAAAAAGCACTTGTTTCATTACTGTTGACATTCCTGTGTTGCTCTATTTGGAGGCCTTTTGTGTACTTATAACATTTAGTAACAGTAACTGAGCACATTAAACACACAAGAACATGAGTGTCTGATACACACACACACCTGACCACTCACTGACCCTGGCTTTCTAAGGTACACTGTAATACGTCTTTGCTTTTCTCTGACCTTTAATATTACTATCAGTGCATTATTCAACTTAACACGAGAATGCACTGTAAGAAACTATCAAAGAGTAACACGTGATTCAGGCTTAAACCAGAACAGCAGGTCACTTCTATTTCAATGACACACCTTTCAATCTATGACTAATTCAATGTTAATGCGAGACTTATGTTGTAATATGTGTCGGGATAACATTAGTGACAGTTAAAATAGATTGATTAATTACTGCGGTGAGGACTGACTTCTTATCTGCAAAGATCGCACTGAGATCATCTTGATGGTTATTATGGCTTTAGGTATGAAGTCTATGCTGTAAAAATCTGTCTAGTGTACTGATATATAATGATACATCATTTTTCCCCTCAGTGATGATGCATAGATTAAAGTAATGATAACGATACAAGGACAAAAGAATGACCTAGTAAAGAAATGTATATAAAATATGTATCATATTTATATAAAGTAAATATGATTAAAAACAGTACTATAAACATGCAGATGTCTGCTGTTACTGTGTTTAATGTATGCATTTATTTTACTGTATTATACACTACCATTCAATTTTTTTTACAATGATTTTCAAGACACTGAAGACCAGTGTCATAGACCCAGAAGACCATATTGATTCCCATTATAACTGTTTTACTATATTTTTGATCAAATAAATGCAGACTTGGTGAGCATTAGAGACTTCTTTCAAAAACATTAGAAACATCTTACCCCAAATTTTTGTACAGTAGTGTACATGAAATCGCATTTATATTAGTTATCTTTCCTGTTTAATCGCCTATACAGTCTTTGTGGGCAACAAGCATATTAATGTAGATCACCACGCTAGAATATAAGATATCAAGCATATATTTTCCTGCTATCATTTTACTGATAAAGAGTGGTTGTGCCTGAGCACATCCATGCAGTTATCTGAAGTAGTATTTACAACGTTGTCTCCCAGTGTAACAGACACATCTCTAACCGCTTATATCAAAGAGCTGCCGCTTCTGATGCGAGCTACTGGAGCTGAAGAAAACAGAAGCATAAACTCATTTGATGATAAAAGCTGCCGGTTCAGATGCAAGCAAAAGTCTGGAGCTTCTCATTCACAAATTTGATTAAAGGACATGATGACCAAATATTTACTTCTGGAGACATCAGAAAATAATGCAAACAGCAAAACACAACTAGTACATAAGAAACAGGGTCAAACATTTATAACTGTATTATGTCAATTATATAATGTTAATATACCAACTATTTAGAGCAAATTAAATTGGTTTATTAATGTAAAACATACTGATAATCATACAGGTGGTACTTTATGTTTGACTTGTGAAAACAATAGTATGCTTTTACTTATAAAAACAATAATATTAAAACAATTTCATTATTTTATTAACAATAACAGTAAAAGCATACATAATTCGTTATAAAACACAATTTAGAAGTAAATTATAAAATAATTTATACTTAAACCTTTTCACAAATGTTTTGAATTAAATGCATTGTCTTTTAAATTTTATTCGGGTGACTAACTGTTAACAATTTAGTTTATTAACTGATGCATTTACACACACTTTGTATTGAATTACTAATATTTTTCACAGTGTACGCTCACACACAAACACGCCCCGCATCAGAAATGTCTGAATACCAAAAATAGCCTTGTGAGAAATACATAGGAATCTAATCATACACAGTTAAGGATTTGTAAGTAATTTGGTAAAATGAAAAGAAGTTCTAAAAGAATGACAGTCATCCTTGCGCGATGTCTTCCAGAGAATCACATGAGAATGAACTTCAAACGATCTCCATTTCTAAGGGTCTCTCACAATTACACAATGAATTGTGTGTTGTCATTGAAAAAAAAAAAGCTGCATAGTTTTGCATAATTTCTGGCATAATTTCCTAATATGACATAAGAAGTTCAGGTTAGGTAACAGGAAGTATGGTTGTACAAATTGTACTTATCAGGTGTACAGTACGTCACATCTGCTAAATAACTGCTCACTAAAAAAATATATATATATTTTTTTTTTCCGCCAAGCTACCTAACAACCTTACTCAATACACAATACAGTACGTTCCTTATTGCTTTTGTAAAAGTTAATAACACAAATATTTATTAAAACATGAATTCATAAAGCATCAGGATATGACATGTAAACAACAACAGAACGTCATTCTGTGAATGCAGCACACACAGTAACTAGGTGAAGAGGTGTTTCACGTCAAAACTGATAATACACATCAATTACTTTAGAACAACTGAAATGCTGTTTTGACCAAATTGTAATCCTGAATGGGAACTAATATCAATAAAAAAAGTTCTAATATCCAACATTTTTATTTTTAATTTAACTTTTTCTCTCTTTTTTTTTTTTGACACAATGGAAAAGGAGCTAAATCCAAACTAATATGTTTCCCACATTATATCTGAAATATCAAAAGATTTCGTCTTATGGGGTATGAGAGGATTAAAGGAAGCAATCGATAGGTGGTTGGCTTTTGCCAAGTTTTTATCAGAAAGAACAATGGTCATGGATAAGTCGGAGATGTGGCTGGAAATGTAAAAAAGGCATCTTGATAACTGTTAATAATTACAGACAAGATAAGTTTAGCAATTTATAAATTCACATGGTCTTAAAGATCTCTGACAGACCACTGCAACTTTTGAAGCAAAACAGGGACAGCAAATTGGAAATATCTGATACCTCACTGAACAGGTAGGATTATCATATTGCAAACAAACACTGTCGTTCAAAAGTTTGGGGTTGGTAAGGTTTTTTAGTGTTTTTGAAATAAGTGTATTAGGCTCAACAAGGCTATTTATTTGATCAAAAATACAGTTAAAACAGTAATATTATGAAATATTAGTGTAATTTAAAAGAACAGTTTTTAAAAAATATATATTTTAAAATGTAATTTATTCCTGTGATGAGCTGAATTTTCAGCAGCCAGTCTTCAGTGTCACATGATCCTTTAGAAATCATTATTTGATGCTCAAAAAACAATTCTTATTATTATCAGTGTTGAAAACAGTTGTGCAGTTTAATATGTTTGTAGAAACCATGATACTTTTGTTTTCAGGATTCATTAATGAATGTTCAAAAGAGCAACATTTATTTGAAAAAAGAATACGTTTGTGACCATGTAAATATCTTTACAGTCACTTTTGATCAATTCAATGTATCCTTGCTGAATTAAAATATTAATTTCTTTAAAAAAACAAGAATTGTAGTGTATATATGCGAATTTAAGTCCATTCCATAGATAAAAATCATAAATCTGATTTAAAAGGGCAAAAACTATATACAGATGCAAACAAAAAGATTAAAAAAAAAGATAAAGCTAAATGCTCAATTTTTATCAAAGTTCAAAAGTTAATGACCAGTACTGTTAAACCTTCAAAGGATGCTGGTATTACAGATTAAAAACAATAAGACTGAATGTTATTTAGAGCTGCTGAGCACCAACTATAGATCATGACAACATAACTGCTGACAAAAAGCCTAATTAGCAAGAATAGGTTCATATACAAGGAGACAAGTATTTTAAATTGTGGAAAATCCCATGGAAACATGAACTGTATCTTAGAGATATCAAGCTAAATGTGCAGGTTGACACACACATACTATCATACACTCATCATGACAGACATGTGAACTCACACTGTGTAGTTGCATGATGTTTACTCACAGTGCGTTAAAGTAAACACCTCCATCTTACACAACATTTCCATGATTATCAATATAAATACAGATGCAACAAATCCAGCTTGACAGTCGCCAGAGTTGTAGCAGATATTGAGGAATTGCATTTGTTTGGTTGCCTCACACAGATCAGAAGGATTTTTGCCCGGCGCACAATGCTCCGACCCTCAACACAGAGGTATTCAGTGACCAGACCGCTCTACTCAGAAGACGCCTTTGAGGATGAACATGCAAAAGTCTATCGGAAACACAAGAGATTCCTGCACCATGTTATACAGTACTTCACGTATGCCTGAACTCTTAACATTTATTAAGCAGTGCAGAGAAATTTGTTATAATCAGAGGCGGACAAAGTACTCAACTCCATTACTTGAGTGAAATATGGTTAACATTTGGCTTTTATTTGGAAAAACACATATAAACTGCTGGCAGGTTAGTGGCAGTCCACATCTCAGCCCATTCAACAATGCTATTGGTTGTTTTGTGTCTTCCCTTATTCCTATTGGTGGATTACTATAATTTGGGAAATATATCCGTTATTTCCCGCTTCGCTTCCTCTTTCAATCGCCGTTAAAAAAGAAGAAGATGATGAAAAAGCTCCCTATTTACAATAACAGCCTTTGCTCAGACACATTCTTATGCAGGTAAGTGCAGTTTTGGTGTTTTAAATGTTTTCTAGGGGTGTAATGGTACACTTATTCGTACCGAAAATTGTACCGAACAAATACAGTGTCATTTTAACCACTGCACGTGCGGAACTTAATCCGTTTCAATTCATAGCCGTGAATAAATCTTCACTATACATTATTACTATACATTACATTATGTAATCGTAAGGTTTGTGTTTTGTTCTTTTCGATAATAATTGTGACCCTGGAGCACAAAAGCAGTACAGTCTTAAGTTGCTGGGGTATATTTGTAGCAATAGCCAACAATACATTGTATGGGTCAAAATTATTGATTTTTCTTTTATGCCAAAAATCATTAGGATATTAGGTAAAGATCATGTTCCATGAAGATATTTTGTAAATTTCCTACTGTAAATATATCAAAACTTAATTTTTGATTAGTAATATGCATTGCTAAGAACTTCATTTGGACAACTTTAAAGGTGATTTTCTCAATATTTAGATTTTTTTGCACCCTCAGATTCCAGATTTTCAAATAGTTGTATCTCAGCCAAATATTGTCCTATCCTAACAAACCATACATCAATGGAAAGCTCATTTATTCAGCTTTCAGATTATATATAAATCTCAGTTTTGAAAATTGACCCTTATGACTGGTTTTGTGGTCCTGGGTCACATATTTTATTTTTATATATAATTTAAATATAATACAAATACACTATGACAAAAGCAGATATAGTTCTTTTTTTTTATTGACCAACAGCACTTTATTTGCTGTGAGATGTCTCTAAATTGTTTAGTTTTTTTTATAAACTGAATTTATTATTTTATTATTTTTTTGCTAGTTGTACTTCCGAACGTGCAAAGAACACTGCTATTTCTCTGCTGCCTATCATTGGATGGATGAAAACCTACTCAATCAAAGACTGGCTGCTGAATGACATCTTGTCTGGCGTCAGCACTGGATTGGTTGCCGTGCTACAAGGTAAAATCTTATGAAGCTCTTATTGAAAGTTACTCAACAGGAACATTCACGATATAAGCTCAACTCTTGCAATAGATTAATGATATTAGATGAAATATGATATCAGGCCGTAAGAATGCAACACTACAGGAATGATAGTTTTATCTCGATGAACTGAGTTCTGTGACTGATGTGAGTGTCTACGCAGTTTTTTATGAGATAACTGGTATGACGAAATGTGTCAAAATAAGAGAAAAGTGCATTTATCTGCGAACTGTTGGTGAAATTATAAACATGTCATCGGAAGATAGCCCAGAAATGCAGTACATATTGAGCAAAGGAAGTGTTTAAGATTAAGAAGTTGACTGGCAAATATATAAAAAGGTACATTTTTAGCACATATACAGTATGAAGATTATTTAACGATGCTACCAGGGGTTGGTTAGTAATTATCAATATTTTTTCCCTCAGGGCTAGCCTTCAGTTTGCTGGCATCCATCTCTACATGGTATGGACTGTATGCTGCTTTTTTCCCAGTCATCATGTATTTTTTCCTGGGCACCTCACGACACATTTCTGTGGGTGAGTACACTTGTGAACAGATTACGTGAATGAGACAAACAAACAACATGTCACTGACACACCAAGCACTGTCTAGCTGTTGCAACACCCTTCTGAATATAACCCTATAATTCCATTAAAGTTTATTGTGGCATTGACTAAATAGTGCCAGGGACGAGTTTAGTAGCCTCTCATTTAGATTTGGCACTGTTGAGCTCAATCAAAATACCTCAGTTCATAAAATCCTCGGCCAGCTATTCTCCACAGCTTCTGCAGCTTCTTTTGTATTTCAGTGGAGAAAGATTGAAATTTCAATCTTAATATCTAAATATGCTTCAATGGGATATTTAAACATAAAAAACCAAATACCTGACAATAACTGTATAATAAATTTAGCTTCATATGTTCAAATCACACAAGAACTCTCAGGTTAAAAAATACAATAATAATAACATTATTTAATAATATACAATATTTATTTTACATATAAATAATATGTATATATGCATGTGTAAAATAGAATATGTTATGATATACTATTACACAATATTATTATTATTATTATTATTATTATTATTATTACAACAACAGGCCATCCATGTTAACATCCTCTGCCAGCTATTTTCTACTAAGTGCAGCTTCTTTTGTACAGCAATGGTGTGGCGTCTCCTATGCATTCAACTTCAGTGAAAATCACGGAGTGGATGTGGTGGAGAAAATTCCAAACACGTAAGCATCACAATCTTCATAATATTATAAAACAGTTTTTACTAAGCCGTGATTTAAAGAACCAGTGAAATATGATTTCCTTCGTGTGTTGACAAATTATACATTCAAAGTTGGGCCATACTGAATGACCCCTTTAAAAAATAATATATGTTAAAAAATAACACACGTTTGTATTAGGGGACGGGGCGTTCTCATTCTAGAGTGCATTCGATTGGACAAAAAAAATTGTAATGCAGGATGAGTCATCAATATTTTTGGTTCATTTTTCAGGGAGAGACTTTAAATTTCTAATGCATATACCTGATAAAAGTTAATCTTGTCAAATTGTCCATACATAGAAAACAACAACAAAAATAACAAAACCAATTATGATTGTATAGGGTTCTAGCTGTTACAGCTGTTACACAGCAACAAAAACAAATCCATATGCTTTAGAGCACAACGTTAACTGAAGAGAACTGCAGGTGGCATAAAAAATAAACACATTTTCATCTGTCCAGGTTTGAGTCCCCAATCACTCCCAGCCTGCAGGTTTTCCAGATGACAGCAGTGGAGGCTTTCCCAATAGCTATTGTGGGATTTGCCGTGGCTTTTGCAGTGGCTAAAGTCTATTCTGTAAAGCATGACTACGTTATAGATGGAAATCAAGTAAGCCCTGAATACTATTCCATTTAAAATGCAACAGAGAACAGTCTGTGGAAGCACATCTGCAATGACACATATAATCCCGCAGGAACTTATTGCCTTTGGGGCAAGCAACATCTTTGGAGGAGCGTTTAAGTCTCTGGCAGCCAGCACGGCTCTCTCCAGAAGTGCAGTTCAAGAAAGCACTGGAGGAAAAACACAGGTAAACAGCTCGGTTTGCAAGCTTTTCTTATTGGCTGGAACACAAAAATATGATTTTGCATCTGTGGTGTCCCAATTAGGGAATTTGTTTTCCAGCCACAGAGAAATACTGTCCTCTAGTGTTCCAGAAAGAGTTGTAAATAATACAATATAATACAATAGACATGTTGTAAATAATACAATTAACACAATGGTGCCATAAATATAACATCATATTCCTGCTCCTATTTATGTCAAAATACTTTTTTATTTTTTTTCATACACTACTGTTCAAAGGTTTGGGATCGTTAATATTTTTTAATTATTTTGAAACTCTTTTATGCTCACCAAGGATGCATTTATTTGATCAAAAATACAGTAAAATAATAGTATTACAACTAAAAATAACCGTTTCTATTTGAATATATTTTAAATGTAATTTTTTTTCTGTGATGGGAAATTTTCAGCTTGTGTCACATGATCCTTCAGAAATCATTCTAATATGCTGATTTGGTGCTCAAGAAACATTATCATTATTATTATCAATGTTGAAACAGTTGTGCTGCCTAATATTTTTGCAGAAACCATGATGCAATAAAAAGTTCAAAAGTACAGCATTTATTTGGAACAGAAATGTCCACTTTTTATCAAATGAATGCATCCTTATTAAATAAAAGTGTTAATTTATTAATTTTTTTAAAATGTACTTTTCAGGTAGCTGGTTTACTCTCTGCCATTATCGTGCTGGTGGTAATATTGGGGATAGGGTTTTTGTTGGAACCTCTACCAAAGGTAGGTTTTAAATTCAAAGTGTAAATGATTGGCTTTAATAACAGAAAAAAAGAATTTGTGAAAAGCTGTGTGGTGTTGTGTGCCTGCAGTCAGTGCTGGGCGCAGTGGTGATTGTGAACCTGAAGGGGATGTTGATGCAGGTGGTTACAGTCCCTTACCTGTGGAAGAAAGACCGTCCTGACTGCGTAAGAGTCTTTGACTTGTCTCTCTAAATGCAAAGAAGGGATAAAAAAAAAAAAAAGTATAATCCAAGTAGACATACTTCAAATTTCAGCTTCTTAAAAATGAGAATTACATTTTTAAATCTGAAGTATTTTATCTGAGATAGATAACATCTCACATAATTTACCTTAGAATTTAACTGTCCAATGGTATATCACTGATTTCTGTACTCGGTGTAATGTCCCACTCTTGTCATTTTCCTCCAGATTGTTTGGGTGGGGACCTGTTTGGCAGCTATATTCTTGGGGCTGGACTTAGGACTTGCTGTTGGTCTTGGACTGGAGCTCCTCACTGTGGTCTTCAGGGCTCAGTTGTAAGTGCTGACAGATCCAATTAACTAGATGAAAAAATAAAATAAAAAGAATTTGAATATGGTGTAGATATTAGCTGCTTCTTTAAAGATATTGTGACCTGGGCAAAGAAATGAGGTTTAATTTTCATCATATTCGTATTTATAATATATCCTGTTTCTTTTTTGGATAATAATCAATTGATCTTTTCTGCTCTTCAGTCCACGCTGCTGTGTCCTGGCTAATATCTCAGGGACAGATATCTACAGAGATCGCAAGGACTATGTCAATGTAAGTGTACTAACAGACGCATCCTCTTTGTTCATATTCGGCAACATAATCATTATGTGTCACTTCTATTAACATTACTTGGTGTGTCAATGCACATGATGGGCCAAGATATGGACAGTTTAACACACAGTGAAAAGAAGCAGATGAACGAAAGCCTTGCCTTGGTTTTATTTTCGGTCTTTCTGAATCTATGAGCCAGAGGGAGTGAAGATTTTCAGAATCCCATCTCCCATTTTCTTCGCAAATATTGATTTCTTCAGAGACAAACTGAAGGATGCTGTGAGTGCAGTAGTTTCAGTGTGATAGCCCTGACCTCAGATAACTTTAGCAGCTGACATAATAACAATCTAACCTCTTCACTTTGTGGCAGGTGGGCTTTAATCCTCTGAGAATCCTGAGGAAGAGGAACAAAGCAGTGAAGAAAATGAAGAAACTGATAAAGAAAGGGGAGCTGACCTTAACATCTGTACGTCTTAAACATGATAACAATAAACTCAAGGATTATGCAATGTAGCTGTATTGCATCCAGTGCTTTGATACCTACTGTACATCTTAGATACCTAAATGATATCTTAATCTTATCATTTAGATATACATCAAAAGTTACTTTGATTTCTTTCGGTTATAGAATGGACTACAGGCCACATGCTCAATGCCCATTGAAGAGTCAGAGGATGAAAGCAACATGGAGGATCTAGACAAGCCCACAGACTATTCAGATCTTCCAGTCCAGGTGAACTGGAATGCAGAACTTCCTGCCAACATCCGAGTTCCTCCTGTGAACATCCACAGTTTGATCCTGGACTTCTCTGTGGTCTCATTCCTGGATATATCTGCACTCAAGGGTCTTAAAGCGGTATGGCAGCTGTGTTCATTCTGAAAACAAAGTGTAAATGGAATAATTTTGCTAATCAAAGCATCAAATTCTAGTTTGATTATCTAAAAACATCACTAATGAATCACAAACACTTGTGTTTACAGGCCATAAAAGAATTTATACGCATTAATGTTGACGTTTACATAGTAGGCTGTGACCGTAAGTACTTTTTTTCCTTTCAGATTGCAGGTTAAAGGGTATTTGTAGTGTATTTGACAATGTTTTCCCCTTATCTACAAAGCCACGGCTATTATAATATAACTTAACTGTATGTAATAATAAAGCTGTGCAGTAACTCTCACCTTTGACATGTCGTTTCCAGCGTATATCATAGAGAAGCCGAGGAACTGTACATTTTTTGATGATGAAATCAAGACGTCTATCTTCTTTTTGACCATCCATGATGCAATGCTCTTCATTCATGAGTCTCATCCACCGAAGACTGTGAGCGAGAAGGTGACGAAAACATTTGGAGATTGCACAAGCTTCATTTGTTCATTCAAAGATGAATTTGTTGCATTTATCTAAAATGCATTATTATAAAAGTGCATTGTTAAAATGTCTGATTTGAACTTACGCAAACAGGTCTCAGGAAGTGTCCAATATCAACACGTTAATAGCAGCAGCACATCCAGTTGGTTGACAATCCAAGCAGTAAGTGACCCAACAAGCACCTGGGATTAAACCTGTCAAAATATGAAATAATAATGAAATAGTAAATATTAAAAGCTATCATTTAAAGCAAGAGGTCATCATAATTTCTATTGAAGAGATGTCTGAAGTTCTCAGTTGGGTTAATCTGCTTTATTTTCTGCAGGATATGAAAATGGAAGTCGAAACAGACACCAAACCAGAGACAAGGTTTTGAAATGAACCAACTTGAAGCCTCCACTATACTGAACTTTAAAATCTGTGTATGTAAGAATTTACTTGATTTAGCACATAGCAGTTTTGTATTCTGCGCACTATGCAGAATGAATTAGCTTGAGAATATGTCAATGAGTCATGTACTAATTTAATGGATTTGTGGTGAACAAACACTCAGTTCAGTTCACTATCAGTGCCTTTTGTATATTTACATTTTTCTTTTTGAATAGTATTTTTATGTGTACTATTTTTATTCTAAAATTTAAAAAAAAATGTTTTCTAAAATAGACTGTGCTTCCTGACTTGAGACGAAACTTATTTTCAAGAACACAAATAAAACGTGCAGATCTAATTATTTTATTTTACTGGAATAATAAGCATTAAAAATCGAATTCCTAGCTGTAAATGATTAACTATCTGTATGAGAACGCAAGTTATGGCTGAGGAAGTGAAGAGGGAAAGGTAAAGAATTTGTAACTTAAAATATTATGGAAAAAATAATAATTTTATAGCTACTTTCTAGTTGACTTTCTCAAATATGAAAATAGTGAAGTCACACTGTTACAGAGCAGAAACTTTTTTTAAATTGATTACTATTATTATTATTATTTTAGATTTATTTTACATTAAAGTCAAGACTATTTAAATCTGTCAATTAAGTTCAATCTCATTATTATACCAGTAGTAAGTAATAAGGAGGAAAACAGCACGCTTAAAGGGCCATAAGGACTTGAATTATATTGCATACTGCATAAAAAAGGAAAAAGAAACATGTAACACATAGATTACCTAACAAGATTTAAGAAGGAATATCCTTTCTGATACTGGAACAACATCATACTTCTTGATCAGATTTTAGTTTTAAGTTTATGGTTTAGAGCTTGGTTTAGGCTGAACAACATAATCTCTTTGATTTCAAGTGTTGGTTAGGATTATGTTTATAGAACTATAATTGTGTGATTGGAATGTGGTTCCTGGACAAACACAGGATATTGATCCAGGAACAAGTTCTATTTGGTAAAATTTTCATTCTATTTCACAAAACGGAAGCTGTTTGAATTATATAAGAGAAACACATGTAAAAATAGATTATTGCACAATATATGTGGTGTACTTGTTGACTTAGTAACTGAGCCAACACTTGAAATAGAAGCATTTAATCAATCTGGATATGAGTAATCACAAATTCTAGCAAAAGGAAATACAGTAGCAGGAAACGTGCATGGACCTTTGGACTTACCAGACAATACATAAATTGGTCATAAAAATTCAACGAAATCACAACAATGGCACGTGTTAATGCCTGCACTAAGTATATAGGCTAATGGAAACATTCACAGCACGAAATGGAAAAAGTATGTGAATAAGCAAATAAGCTGTTAAAAATGGCGAGACGAGATTGAAAGTGTAGGTTAGAGTGTCACTCCACTCTAAAAAAAAAAAATCAACATTTTTGAAACGGTGATGTTCATTAGTCTTAATGGAGAAGTTAATCACTGTGACTTGTATGCAGTAATTCATAACAAATTCACGTAGTTCACATACTTTTTCCTGCAGCTCTATTTTTTGTTTCCTTCTCTAGAACGCATGTAAATAAGGAAGAATGACTCAAAAAATCATGTGATAAAATCCATCAAAGATTAAAGCTCGCAAAGACATCCCATAATATCTGTGATAAGACTAATGACAACCCACTCATCAACAAACCAGACTATATAAAGCACTCAAGATGCATCTGAAAACGAACTAACCAAAATGCAGCCCTTTGGCAGACACTATGTGGTGGTCAGGCCTCTGTTTTCAGAGGATTCCTTCGCAGAGCAGCACGAGAGGATCAACAGCAACCGCAGAACTCTACGGCACCATCTGAAAGACTATTTCACGTAAGAATTCAATAATACATTCATAACAGCAGGTCCTTTAAACTGAAATATGGTATCTTATCAGAAGCACGTTTGAAATTGTGGTGTTACTGATATCATGCGTGGATCCAACAGGAACCTTTAGCGAATTGTGTTCATCTCGTTTGCACTGTAGTTGTGATACAAATCGTGCAAAGAATGCAGCTCTTTCCCTTCTTCCAATCATTGGATGGATGAAGAACTACAACATCAAAGAATGGCTGCTGGGTGACATTGTTTCAGGCATCAGAACTGGGCTAGTGGCAGTGCTACAAGGTATCACATTTAACATCCATAGTGTTTCGCTAAAATCCTTTTTGGAAGACTTTGTAAATTCTGTAAAACAGAAACACGTCATAAAAAGGTGTAATTACACCACCTCACTGGATTATTTTGTATCAGGACTTGCATTCTCTTTGCTGGCCTCTTTACCTCTGGGATATGGACTGTACACTGCATTCTTCCCTGCAATAATCTACTTCTTTTTGGGCACCTCCAGACACCTGTCAGTAGGTGCGTGATATATGCATGCATTTACATGGTACACCATAAAAAACTATTTTTTGAAGCGTTAAATAAAACAATGATTAGTGGAGTATGCTGTACAAAACACTATTTCTATTTGAAAATTCAATTTAATGCCATAGCTTAGGTGAAATTTACGAGCAATTTCTGAGTGAAAACTCTTTCTACAGCACTCCTTCAATGTATATGTGCATAAAACATCACAGAAGGCTAATTCATCAGAAGTGAAGGTTTGTACATAAGTGAATGACATTGCACTTTCTAACTGGACTGTGTTTTAGGGGCCTTTCCTATTCTGAGTCTAATGGTGGGCGCTGTTGTCACCCGACTGGTGCCTGATGAGGGGCCGCCAGCTAACATCACTGGATTTGAAGGATTGAGCATGGACCAACAGAGTTCTAGTTGCTTCCTCGGTTACTTTTGTCATGGGAGCATTTCAGGTACATCCTTGAAAACACATTCTCATTTTACATTTATTTATTCACATTTATTATTATATATCATATTAATACAATAATCTTCTCATAATGTTCGATTGATTTTTAGGGCGTGAAATATGAGCAAAATTTGTTCATTACAGATTTCTTAAGATTTACCTAAAATATATAATAAGGAAATTCTATTATATATAATTCTATTATATTTCCCAATGTGGAATCTCTGTTTTCAGCTTATAATGGGGCTGCTGCAGGTGGGCTTCATTGTCATGTATCTGTCAGCGACTCTGGTGTCAGGATTCACCACTACAGCTGCTGTTCACATTTTGGTATCCCAGCTCAGATTTGTGTTGGGATTGGACTTTCCTGGTAGAAGCGGACCACTCGCCATTGTATATGTGAGTTCAAATTCTTCCCTTTTAATGTACTAGCAATGTAGACATTTTATTACAAAGCTCTATATGACTTTTCAGTGAATATATCAAACATTTGTTATTTGATTTCAGACTCTGGTGGACGTTTTTAGTCGAATCACTAACACGAATGTGGCCGACCTGGTGACATCTATTGTGATCATGGCGCTGGTGCTTATTGTGAAGGAGATCAATGACAGATTCAAGTCGAAACTCCCTGTGCCGATACCTATAGAAGCCATCGTGGTTGGTATAATTACTGAGTATGGCTGCATTAATACAAAATATATAACTTCTTTATCAAACTTCACCACTTCATGTAAATCAACCCAACAGACTGTTATCGCTTGTGGAGTCTCTTATGCATTCAACTTCCAAGAGCGATTTGATGTGGTCGTGGTTGGGGAGATGGTAAACGGGTAAGATTCTAACTATACGTCATCTACAATACTGACAACATAAAAAGTGCTGTAATGCATATTTTAAATGGGAGGAGATATATCTATAATTATTAGAAATTATTATTAATTTAATAATAATAAGTCAATAGTATAATATTATAGAGTAATAATAAGATTGAAACTTATTATTGAATAATAATAATAATACATTGTATAATATGAAATATTACATCTCCCTTTCTTAGATATGAAACACCCATTGCTCCAAATCTGGAAGTCATTAAGGAGAGTGCAGTGGAGGCTTTCCCTATGGCCATAGTAGGATTTGCCGTGGCTTTCTCAGTAGCTAAAGTCTACTCCGTCAAACACGACTACACGATTGATGGGAAGCAGGTCAGCTGAGGCTCTATTCACTACAAACAATGCAAATGATGTGATGCATATCTCAATTGGTATTTTGAAAATCAAAATGGACAGTTTTATACACTCACCTGCATGTAACAGGAGCTCATTGCCTTCGGGGTGAGCAACATGTTTGGGGCGTCTTTCCGATCATTTGCTGCCAGCACAGCCCTTTCTAGAACCGCCATACAAGAGAGCACAGGAGGGAAGACGCAGGTGAAACTCTCTCGCTATTCTTTGGCCTAAAATCATCCATTGACTGCCTATATGAAATCAAAGAATGAATGGTTAATGTTTGTTTTATAACATTTGCAGATAGCTGGAGTTCTTTCAGCCATGATGGTACTGATTGTGATTGTAGCAATAGGATTTCTGCTTGAGCCGTTGCCCAGGGTGAGAATTGTTATGTCTTTACTCTTTATATATGTAGTATGCAAACTCCATTAAGTAATTTAGAGCTGAACTGACAGTTAAAACTCTCTGTAAAACCCTTTTAGTCATATGTAGGACTCTTACATTTTTTGTGCTTTATGCTTTTTTCAGTCTGTTCTGGGTGCTTTGGTCATTTTTGGTAATCTGAAAGGCATGCTGATGCAGTTCAGAGAGCTGCCGTTCTTATCTAAGAATGACTGGCCTGATTTAGTGAGTTTCTGTTTTCATTACCACTAATTATTTTGTGAATGATCTTTGATTATCTGATCATCTAGAAGCAGTTTTAAAATCTAATTTGAAAACATGTACAGCAAGTACAGAGTCTTCAAGATCAGAAGTTTAAGACCATGTGTCTGTTTTTTGTAGGTGACCTGGGTGGTGACCTTTGTGGCCTCTCTTTTCCTGGGGCTGGATTTAGGGTTGGCTTTGGGTCTCGGAGCAGAATTGTTCACTGTGGTCTGCAGGACTCAATTGTGAGTGTGGATTCATG